TACTCAATCTACGCAGAGAGCGTCACATGAGCACTTGAACTGGTTAATGCAGAGAAAAGAGATGCAGTTATTAAACGCACACATACACTTTTTAAATCTTTTATGAACTGATTTTCCTACCATGAAACACCGGGTGTGCTCGAAAACTAATCTGGGTGCAGCGGTTAAAGAAATGCATACACTAAATGTTTAAATTTATCTTCAAAGTGTTAGAGCTAATGCATCACTAATGGAAATATTGTCCTTTATTCAGAATGCTGAAGGACACAGCTGCAGTAAGGCAGGCATTTCAAACCACTTAAATAATTTTTTCTATATTTTTTTCCACCTCCCTCATTTCCTGATAAATTACCACACTAGGATTAAGTTCATTCAGCAGTTTCATTTTGTAAAAAACAAAAAAAACACACAAAAAAAAACAGTTGACACCAAGCAACTTGAATAGTTAATTGTTCCAGCTTTAAAAAACACACAAAAGGTATTCTTTTTATATGAAGATTCGGAGAAAATGATAGCATCAACTCATCATTTAAATTTCTAAAACAAAGTCTAAAATATGCAAAATGATCCTGTAGTTAAACACGAGTGTTTGCAGAGCTTAAACTGTTGCATCTGGATGAGTGATAGGATACAAGTTCCCAACAACATAACTGTCAGTGGAAACAATGAAGAGGATAATTAACCCCCCCTTAAGAAGGTAACTTAGCTCAACATGACAGGAAATGTTGCTTGCTCCTTTTCCAGGAGAATATAATTAAAAACAAAACAGGAAAGTAATGAAAGTTCAACACAGAACAGAAAAACCTGGAACAAGAATGATGAAGAATATCCACCAAAGTGTTGATTCCATCATTTTTACATTCAGCTTTGTGTGGGGAACCCCCCCCCCCTCTGTGGCAGCAGCAAACAGGGGGGGCAGCCCCCGGCACATCCAGTCCACCTCTGCTCCGCGTGTGTGTCTTTTGTGAGTGAACCTGAACTGCTCATGGCTCAAGACGTGCCGTGAGACCATGCACTTGTCACATAAAAGCGCTGATGGCTGGCCACTGAGGCACAGGGGGGGCCGGCCAGCAACGGCCGCATCGATGAGGAACCTCCGAGGACCTGGGGACACAGAATGAAGAGCGCGGGGGCCACATCTGGAAAACTGTCACTCACGTTTACTTTCCGACCTTTTCCCCAACACTGTGGTGATCAGCGAGCAGCCACAGATGACTGAGTGTGCCTTTGTGTGGACAGTGGGCGCATAAACCCACTGGGGGGCTTAAGCCTGCGGGAAAGATACCCCCCCCTCAGATCACTGTGCCTGTGTGTGTGTGTGTTGGTTTGTAAGAGTGTGTAGGCCATCTATCACTGTGACAGGCGGGTGCGTGTTTACTTAATGATGTGGGGGTTTATTTATGAAGTGATGGCCAATATGTGGTGGGGGGGGGGGGAAAAGGGGGGGGGGGGGGGGGGGGATTGAGACAGCCCGAGGATGTGACATTAAAATATCATCAAGGTGATGGATGTCCACACGCACAACATTAGAGACAAGTACAAAAACAGCTGCGCAGCGGATGACAAGTCGTATTCTGGACGTGTGTGAGCGCCGCACCGCGTGAGCTTTCTAATGAGTCGGAGTGTGTGGCGAGTGTGTGGGTTTTCCGTGACTTCTGTGTTGATTAAGGTGTCGTGTGTGCTGCGGCGGTGGTTTGCGATTCACAGGGTAATGAGTTGAAGAAAAGATGCATGAATTTCATACGTGTGTGTGTGTGTGAAGGGTCCAGATATGTGTACCTTCTGGGGAAAAACTTCCATCTTGAGAGATGAAAGCTTTGAAAGTGAGGTAGTTTTGGTTCAGGCAACAGAAAGTCAAGTCAATTCAACGTCCTATGCAGTCACCGATGCATGATGATGTGCACACATGTGCTGCCCGTACAGCCGCTGCTTCACTTTGGATAATCTGTCCACCAGCTGTTGACATTACTGAGGTCTGATAACAGCCACTAGAGGGCCTATCAAAAGTTAAATGACATGAGTACACTTGCCCTTGTGTAAATAGCAGCTGAAGCACCAATCAGGTGAACCAATGAGAGATCAGAACTGGGGTCAAATGGCTTTTATCAAATAAATGCATCAACTGTCCTCCACCTGATATTAACCTGCATATTACCTAACTGTGTACAGTCTAACCTCTATCATAATCTCAATTTCACCTTTTTGCAGAGGTTATTGTATTTTTTTTTTAGAATAAGAGCTGAATATCTGTGCTTTTTGCTTAGATTTTTAAGGAGTTTCATCAAGATTTCGTTTCATTTTGTGCACCTTCCCGACACTTTGATCGATTTCTCCCAACATACAGTACACTGGATATTTAGTAAGTCCCATGACTTTCTGTGTCCTTCAGTAGGAACACACACAATACGAAAAAAACGTAATAAATTTGAACACATTTTGCGAGAAGATTAATAAACCCTAAGCATGCATGGGAATGAAGCAGAAAACAGTGCTATTCATTTGTGATTGATGAGTGTTTAATATTCTTATCATATTGCTTTTTACATCAGTCAGATGTTGTTATATTCTTCATTGTAATTCTATTTTGGCTAAAGGATGAAATAGAAATGAGTTTTGCTGTTAAAGGGCAACATTTCACCTCCATTAAAGTACAGTTCAAAGATTTAATGTCTTCTTTTTCAAAAGTGTATTTAAACTCAAGGTTGCATGCATTTTTACAACCTTAGGAAATGGGAAGCGTCTCTGCTCTATTAAACTTTAGATCATTTGGAATTATGAGTCAGAAACTGTAAGACCACCCAAAAGGATTTTCTGGAGAAACTCCATAAAGACACATTCCATCACATATATAAAAGTCTTCCCAAGTTATCTCACTGATCAAAGAAAGTCAATGAATAGAAAAACTTATCATGTACTTCTGAGGCTTAATTGGCCATCAAGACAATACAGACAGCCTATTATTAACATACTGAGAAAATAGACGGAGAAAGGGACAGCGAGATTGGCACAATTACAACGGTGACCTATCTATAGACAGGGAACATGGTGGAAGGGTCAAATTAGAGACAGACAGGCAGACAGAGACAGTGAGAGAGAGCGGGGTAAGAGGAGGGAAACGAGAAAGGGCCATGAAGTCATTTCGGAGCTAAAAGTCAGTGACTCACACACCCACGTCAGTGTGGCTCACCACACACACGCCCTCACACATATCTCCCCCTCTAATTCACAGCCACGGACGGCCATGAGAAAAATAAACAGACACGAATAGACGCTGAGGCCACAGACTTTTACCCGTTCCTTGTTTATATCAGCTCTACCATACCTTCCATCTCTGGAGAGCATAGGTGGGCACACACTCATCTCCTCTTTCAAGCACGCAGAAACCACTCACAGAGGGAGAATGGTGCTCCTGGCCTTGTGTGGAGAGCTCGGAAAAAGCTTTTTAACTATTCAAGGCCTCCGATACAGCGGAACATAAAAGAGCAGCGCGGCGTGCTGGAGGTGATGGCTAAAAGGCTGATCAAACAAGGCCGGCGTGAGCCCGAGCCTCACTCAAGTGCTCCGCATTTATGCACACACAGAGAGAAAATAGATAAATGCGGAGTAATATTCTGCTGAATCAAAGGGTGTGGGCACCAATAACTCCACTTTGTCAGTGGCTGAGGAGGAACGGCCCTCAGCGTGGGCAATACAGCACTCAGTCCTCTTATTTTAGATTAGATTAAGTTTCCGTGCGAGATTTTGTGAATTTATTTGTATTATAATCACAAAAATGTGATAAAAATATGGAATGTAACACGCCATTGCAATCTTTTCTCCTTTTATGTATCTGATAGAATTTGCTGTTTTCTTCTTTCTCACGCGGTGCCGGCGAGCACGTGTGTGCGATTGTGTGTGAGTGTTTCATTATCGGGCTCCTCAGGAGAGGAGCCCGCCGCCGCTTTTTTGCTGGAGAGACAGCTGTCTTTTTTTAGCTGAAAAACACAAACCTGATCAGAGGCTGCACCACGTACCTGCTGAGCTTTAATTGTGTCAGAGTTTCGGTACCAGCTGAGCTGTGGCAAAATGAGGAAGCAGCAAAACGCTGCAGCCTGAAGGACGGCGAGCGCTGGGTGAGCCGGCGAGCGCTTAATGAAGACTGATCCACATGGCTTCATTGGTCAATAAACACAAACTGCAATAAGTGAGGAGGTGAGCGCAGCAGGAGGCAGGTTGTGTCCGCTGATTAGATATCAGCCATGTTGTCAGTAAATCCATCCCATATTTCCCAGATGCCCTTGCATCTCTCTTTGCTCAGTTGTATTACATAATGAAAAAGAAATCCAACACTAAAGAAATGCCATTACAAATCACCGCGGGTAGACGCAGAAATTTTGCTTTGGATCAAAGTGTGATTTTCTGCATCTTTGGGCGCACTATAAAAAATATCCTATTCTAAAATGGCTGATAAATGGCTATTGATTTCCAGGCTGAGTATGCTGAGCTTGCGAGAGTACAGAGGTAAATGAAATGATTCCTCAGACTGGATCAATACAGGTTCAGCGACATTTAGCTGTGCAGCTTGGTTAAGAGAGCCATTGACTGCAGTTGGGGATTTCAAGGCTATTGTTGCTCTTGCCAAAAAACAGGGAAGCAAAGAAAGGGGGCGGGGGGGTAGGAATGGAGAAATAAAAAAGGGCCACAGGTTAGGACAGACAGTTATGGTATGGACCTAAATGAAAAGCTTTTATAGAGGTCTCTCCATAAACCTTAATGAAGAACTCATCTCAAAATGTTAACAATGAAACTGAAAACAGCCTGACAAAAGCACAAGGGAGCAAGGCCAGTCTCCCAGGGACACCTTATTGTGCTCGGAAAAAAAGAGCTTGAGTTTCACATTTTAATTTGGTATCAAGAGGGAGCCTTGCTGTGGAGCATTTGATTGCTTTTTCCTTTTTTCTTTTTCAATGAACGCTCACTGGTCTGCCAGCTCTAGTCTACAAACAGACAGTTAAACTCACCCGGTTCGGGTCGTACTCCAGGGCTCGGCGTCTTGCAGCATCCAGCTCATCGTAACTGGGAACCGCACGGGGCGGCGGGTTGTCCCTGCGCTGGCCCTGGAGCCGCTGGTCACTGCAGAGACACGCGGGGGGGGGGGGGGGAAACAAGCCTGAGTAAATGCAGTTTGGAGAGAGGCGAACGCTGTGGGAGAGGCAGTGTGAACGGCCTAAGACATTCACACCACTTTGGAATGAAGAACTAAAGAAGTTGGCCAAAGATGGCATTCAAACAGGGGGAAATGTACCAGTGAGCAGGACATAGACGGGACAAAACTGAAAGAGAAACGTCATCATGCTTCCTGGACCCTCCTGGTAGATAAGCTACACACACCTGGGAGTCCTGGGCACACACAAACAAGGGTTCAGATATACACACACACACACACACACACAAAAACCCACGAAGGCAAAAGAATTGTGTGACTTAGCGAGCACAATCCCTCAGGATGTGCTTCCAAAGTATGACACAGTGCTGTCTTTTATCTGTGTTTACCGGCTGCTGCTGCTGAAACGGGTATCTAATATTGATACCGATTTAACGCTTGGTTGCTATTTTGCCCTCAGGAAATACATGCCGCATAAAAAATATTCAGACGGAGACAAAAAAAGGAAATGTAATACATGGATGAAAACGAGCTCTCCACACTAACCCTGCATCTGTAAAACTAAAACACTCATTACACCTTCAGACCAGATGGGCATTATTTCCCATAAACGGCCTCAAAGCCTTTGTAGCTGACACTAACAATCCGGCGGGCAGGCAGATATTGACCAAAACTGAGTGAAAGGCAGATGTAGCGCTTCATTAGTGGAGTACACAGCCTACACAGCATTCAATCAGAAGCTCTCTTTGACTTGATGGGTCTGGAGCCCAGAGTGGACTTTATTAAAGAGTTTTCTGTGAGTGAACTGGAAAAATCAATGCCTGTACCTCTGCCGTGTGGGACATACTGTAACATGTGTTTTTGACCGGTCGTCTATTCACCTCACTGGGGACGGCGGGCTGACTCATTCAGACTTTTGTACCGGGATGCAGAGCGTTCTGCAGAATAAGGCCCAGATGTGAGCGAGCGCCCCTGGCTCTGCAGCACAAACCTTAATCCTGATTCTCTGCCATGTGGGAACTGCTTTGCAAAAGGTTCTGTGCTGCACTTAAATGCCAGCGCAGATGTTTTTGTTTCATAAAGATGGATATCTGTGGTGGCGAGAGGCGCTATACTGCTCTAATTGTTGCATTCTGAGATTGCTTTAATGGCTGGTGTCAACGCACAGCTAATCAATACTAATCCCCGTTTCCCCCTCAAGTGCTGAATCTTGCAAACACCCACGCTGTTAGAGTACTCCCACTTAATCTATTGTTTTATTTATTAATTGACTTACTTCTTTCTTTTTTTTATTATTCTTACTTACCCCAGCGAGTAAGAGCAATAGCCCTCCCCCCTCACACAAATAAACAGAAAAAACCTTAGAGAACAGATGCAAACTTTTGTTTTTTTGTGTGTTAAACGACACAACCTCTTCCAGCGATCCCATTAGCCAATCCCTGGGCTTGTAATTAGACCTGCCATTTTGATTGAGCGTGCGTGTCACTCTCCAAATGAAACAACAGTGTAATTATCTCATTATGCCGCGGCCTCCATCACTGACAACGACAAATATTATCATATTAACGGCTGAAGACGGAGGCTGATGCTCCATAAAACATTGAGGGGGGTGTGCTCGGGGTTTGTGAAGTATCAGTGTGATGGGCTGAACATCCAGCACGCTGCTTTTCCATAAATGAGTGTGTGTATACGTGTGCTCAGAGAGAGGCTGGCTACCCTGTTGTCATCAGCTGCTAATAAATGTTGTCTGTTAATAAATGTCACTGTCTGTGAGCCTCCGGCCAGATGTGTAAACACAACCGTTAAAAGCTTTAGTGATCTACACGCTTTTTAATCAGCCAGGCTGATTCAGGACTGCTACCGACAACAAAACAAGAGTACAAGCAGAAGGAGTCTGCTGAAACACAGGGTAGGCAGGAATGGGAATCAAAATTTAGTTTTGAAAATAATATATAGCATAGAAGAATGCACAAGGAAAAAGAACATCAAAGTTATTTTATAATATCTGACTTCATCCAGATTTCTCAATCTGTGTGTGAGGCTGATCTTAAACTACAGCAGGAGCAGAAAGAAATGTAGGAGGATGAAGTGGAAAGTGGAAAGGGAAAGGATGAGACAGAGAAAAGAAAAGAGACCAAAAACCAACCTAAAGACGATGACAGAAAATTGGACAGAATCAAATGACAGAACAGGAGAGCTGGGGTGAGAATCAAACTATCGGCGGTATGAAAGAAAAGGCAAAAAAAAATCATGTGAGAGAAAGTGTCCTGCAGTGTTAGCCAGTGTGAGGGCAGACTAATTAGGAAGTGTGCACTGCCACTGGCGGCTGTGGTGACTTTTCCTGGCTGTGGCCAGCTGATTAGAGCACAATACACTGGAGGAGATGCTACGGCTGGCATTTTTCTTTGCCTGCATGATGTAAGTACACATCAAAAAGTGAGTCTTTATTTTCCTGGTGGAATAAAGGGAATAAACTCATAAAGAAACTCAGTGAAGCTCAAAGGCTGTTATATAAAAACAGATCTGTTCTTTTGTCTTTCCCCAGTTCTTTTGATGCGTGTGAAACTGAAACCTGCTGAATTTAATATTATAATGATCATAAGCTCATTTGGGATCTACTTTTAATTTATTATGTAAAATGAATGTGGTAGATTGTGGTAGAAAAATTACTTTTCTGGTGTATTTCAGAAAAGGAGCAAAAGATAAATGCGAAACTAAAATATAGAACTTATATTTGGAAAGAAAAAGGCTGTTGAATTAATTCAGGAAAATATTCCCACTTGTTAAGCATGGGGGTGGACTCCTCATGCTTAGGGCTCGCTTTGCAATCAACAAGAAAAATAGTTTACTGTAAGAGGAATCAAATAATTTACCATTAGTAAATTCAGGAGACAAACATCACAAGGAACCAAAGGATTCGGACCTCTGTGGACCATCCCAGGCAAACACACCACTGAACATCTGTGGGAAGGGCTCACGAGATGAGTGCAGCAGGCCTACCTCCGGATGGCTTATTTGTGCACAAATAACAGTCAAATGCACTGAAAATGCAGGGTGTAGTTCCTACAACTGTAAAATGAGAAATCGCACTAGCATTTTAGCCTAAAATGATGGGAAACATCTTTAAATGACTGAACTAAATATGGAAATCATTCACCTGTTTACCTTTCAAATTAACATGAACTTTGACTTAAGAGTGTAAAAAGATTTTTATTTATCTGGATTCTCACAACTATGAATAAAAAAATAAAAAATATTGGGTCCTTCTCAGAAACCAGAAAGCCCCCCAGAGACACAATTATCTCTCATCTGGACAAAGTCTGGTACCCCTGTGGCTTTGACCTACAAACTCAATCTGTAATGTGGAGGATGGCTTCTATGAACATGGCCCCACAACAGTAGAATAATTTCCCTCTAAAAGCATCACTTGTCCCAGATTTAGCTAATTTGGCTGCATCTCAGGGCTGTTTTCTACCTTGAATTAACTGGATTTGACAATCATAATGACAAGCTTGTTTAGCAGTGATCACAGTTTGAAATTAAACCATGATCTCTCTGGATATACAGAGGCATAAAAGCTGCTTTATGGGCAAACTGGTCACAGTTCAGCCAATGAATAATTAGTAGCTATCAGTCACTGCTTGTAACACATTACTTATCACGCATCTGTTTTGGTTTGTTTGACACAAGCCTTCAATGAGTAAGTCTGTTTGCTCTTAGTTACCAGCTACAGACCAAATAAAGGCTGGAAGCTGCTTTAATACAAAGAAACTGCAGATAAAATACACTTTTTAGGCACAGAGGACCAGCCTAACGCACTGTTTATAATGACACGCTGTGTACAACAGAATGTTCTTTTTCCTCTTTTTTTTTTAAACTCTTCTTCAGGCGACTGCTGTCTGACAACTGAATCTGTGGCAGACAAGATGTGGTTTTTTTCGGCAACTCCAAAAGTTTCAGCAGCCGTCTCAACAGCAAAGCTCAGATTAGGTCGGCTCTTTTGTGCTGCTCTGACTACAGGGGGAGTAAATTGCATCTTAGGTGTCAGTCTGTGGAAAATGACCCAACAAATCAAGATCAAACAGATTGTGCCGCACTGTCCTGGAAGAATTCAATAATTAGTCGGGCCTGTCTGCTGTGATTTAAGATTTCACTCTGTCGCAGTGTCAGGTAAACTTAGAGGCACGCAAGCGTACCGCCATTACAGGAGCAATGGCAAAAATCCAAAAACACCCTCACAGAAGTCTCACTTACTTAGCGTACAAGCTCACCTTTGTCTCACTTTTTTTTAGTACAGTGCTGCATTTCACAACGCATCTCTTACAAGTCCTCACATCTCTGCACTCTGGCCCCTCTCTCTCACTCCTCTTTCATCTCATCTCCTCATTTTTTTGCCCAAGCTACAAAGACTGCCTCCTGGCTAATAAAATTTGACAAGCATAGCTAACCTTTTTTCTCCACAGGTCAGCCTCTAGCACAGATCTAATCAAATGTGACGCTCATCAGCGCACACACCTGCCATTGAAGGCCTAATGAAAATGTCCGACAATAAATTAAGACGACAGTGCTGGAAGTCCACCGTGGAGGGCTTTGATGGCAAGGGGGTGGAGGGGGAAGGGGGTGCGCATCTTTTAGTTTGCAAAACTATGCAAACACAGATACACTATGCACACCTTCAAAAACATTTGGAGAGAGACATATTGTACCAGTCTCAGTATTTCAAAAGCACACGCATCATCTCCCACATGCATAATGAGCACATTTGGTTACAGCATCATTAAAAATGTATAATGTAAAAAGATAAAAGAAACAGACATGTTGTCCCCCTGGAAAAAATAAAATCTTGTATGCAAAATCTATAAAAAGCTACTTTGGGAACATAAAGTGCTATGAAACTAGGAAAGTGAAAAGAAATATTAAAATCGAGCTTGTTTGAGTCGAATGAACACAGTATTTACACAGGAGGACGCACACCTATACTTTTATGCCATAGTTTTATACTAACTGTGTAGCATTTACCATATGGGTGGCACTGTAAGCATCTATTTCTGACCATGTGGGTTCCGCAGTGTCTGTCTGAACCTCTTGGTCAGCTCATGTATTTTAACAGATGTGCAGACGTTGGAAATGCATGTCCCCTGTGCAATTTTCAGGTTGTTATTGAAGGGTGAATTACAAACATAATGTGGTAACTAAGGAAACACGAGTTTCTAAATATATTCTAGTGTTGCTTTTAATAGTGAAACGTCCTTGTTCTCAGACTCAGAAGCCCTTTATTATTTTTTCTGCTCTTGGTCAGCATACCCGGCTAAAAGGAGAGGACACTGGGACACGTGGTGACCCTGGCTCTGCAAGTACAGGCCAAATCCTCCAAGAGCAATTGGCTAAAATCAGCTCCTGGGAATATCCTTGAATTCAACAGTAAATGTTGTAACCAGAGTCTGAAAGAGATCAAAGTCTCTCGCAGTAGCCACTATGTTAGACCGTCTAAGGTTCCACCTCAGAAAACTTGCACAGAATTCAGTCAGGAGCAGCTCCTTAAGTGTAGAGCAAAAACCACTTTGCTGGGAGCTGGTTGCTGGGAGAAAATCTGAAATACAGTCTTCCTTTTCTGAGAGCCAGATCAGCTTGAGGCTTAAAAGCCCTGGGACAAGCTGACATTTTTCCTCTGCCTTATTAAAGCTGTAAATTAGAACGCAAATATCAGCCGAATTCAGATGAAGAACCACCGAATGAGGATGGTATTTGTGTAAAAGAGTGTGCGATGATCGTGCCCACTGACAGGGTATCATCTGTAGTGGAAGCTGAAGCATGGGAGAGCCCTGCTGAGTTTAGCTGGACTGTACTATGAAATAGAAAATATCATACTCAACTGAAAAAAACTAAATACATTACAGATCAGCCAGAGTACTATACATTTTAATTTAGCACTTTTTGGGGGTGTTTGTTCGTTGCATTTATCTTAACATTCCAAAATATGCTGTATTAGTCCCTGAAACGTCTTCACTTGACAGATTTTGTGGCTTTGGAAGGTCTTCTTTTCCCCCCCAAGTTATCGAATATAGCTTTGTATGCACAGGAATCAGATTCAGTCCACTGTGTCACAACTCACAACTACAATGAAATTCTCTCATGGTGCTTTACATTCAGACTTTTTTGTATATCCAAATAAATGATCCATCCAAACCACATGATGTACTGCAAAATTAACAGGAAAATACAAACAGTGTGAATACTTTCACAGTAGATCTTTGTCTTTAATTATCACTTACATTGTTATCCACTTAAAACCTTGCATACAAATGGGTTGTATCTTTTTTGGCAACCACAATTTAGTTTAATTACTATGAACATGTGCAGTATGACAGTCCACTAATGATATTATTAGACATCTATGGATCTTTCTTTGTCTCGGGAGACACCCTTACATGCAGAGTTAACAAGCCAAAGAAGGCTTGTTATCAATCATGCTGATGGTGAAGACTGTGTGAAACACATTATGAGTAAAAGACGTAGGAGGGAATGGACAGGTGAAACACCATAAGTGTGAGAGATGCAGAAACCGAGAAAGTGAGGGGAAAATGGAGGACAGAGAGAAAACAGGCTGGTAATGAAGTACCCACCACTAGTGGATAAGAGCTAAAGTGGTCTGTCAGACTGTTAGACTGTGGCTAATTATCCCTCCTCCTCTTTGTCTGCATCCACTCCTTGTCACTGCTCCTCTCTCGAATTTCCTCTGCATTACATGTTTTTTTTCCTCTCTATTTTGGCTTTGTCTCTTTCTTCTTTCTCTCCCCTCTTCTACTGCTTTCTCTTGTCTCCCTCTCCCTCCGTCTGTCGCTCCTTTCCATTCCCATCTGTCTCCTCCTCTCCATGCCCAACCTCTCTCCCTCTTTCTCTGAATCCTCTATTTCTGGATGAGATTGGGTGTCTGGGGCTTAGTGTTTGATTTGCAAGTCAATAGTAATTTCTGTCAGAGAGTTTAAGTTGAGCAAAGTTTTAATGTGGCCTGTATTATTTCACAAAGGAAACGATAAATTTGCATTAGAATCCTCTCTAGATTTTCTCATTTTTCTCCCTCACACACAAAAGCTGAGTTAAGGTTTCAAAAACTTCAGCAGTAATAATATATAATATGGGGAATGACAACAGTGATACGCAGAAAGCATGAAGCCTTTACAGACTTCAAATGAAGCGCTTTTACTTCTGAATATTACTTTTTTCCCCACCCCAAATTCAAATATATCCAATTACAAAGGCACTTTAAAAACACTCAAAAATCCATCATTCCTCTTTTGCAAATAGCTACTAATCTATTCATCCATTTGAAGGCTCCAGCCAGCTTTTTGCAGGAAAATAATGCTCTGACTGGACACCGGTTACCTGGAATGACTGAAGGGATGTATTTATCATCATCATCAAAAAGAGACTAATCTGATGTTCCTTTTTAGCTGTTTCCAGAGATTACAATTGTGAGGCTGAGTTTCAAAGAGAAATAAATCACGTCTGCTCAACATTTCATGCGAGTTCCCTTCAAAGAACCTGCCTCCTACAGGCATCAGACTTGTTTACATAATCATTTGCAAACTTTGTGTGCTGAATTCTGGTGAAGGTCTTTTAGTAGTTGAACAAAGATTTGGATGTACCAGTATTGTATATTTGTATATGTATTGTATATATTTGTATATGTACTTCAGTATTGTACACTGTATTTTGTTTGTTTCAATGTGTGGGTCCTGTTAAATGATCATTAAGGTGGCAAATCGACTGCACAGCTACTTTAAAAACATTTTCTCACACATTATCCTGCTTTGTGGGCGTCTCTTCTCTTTGTTTTCAGCAGCAGAGGCTCAGATGGCTGATGTGACTGGGATAAGTTTTCAGGAGTCAGAGTGTATAATAATATTTCAAATTAGCATAATGTGTATCTTCTCCAAACGGTGATTACAAACAAGCTGCAAATCCAATAAACTTGTCAAACTTTTGTTTAAAAAATGTCATCACTCAAATGTGCAAAATAAAAATTATGTAGAACTTTATTTAAAATATATCACATGACCTCCGTGTTTTTTTGGAGATCAACTAATTGACTCACTTGACGAGACCTTTGCATGCCTCTATATATCCAGCCACATCCATTCAGGATACGTTTGTGCATCAGGGGGATTCACTACCAAGCATGAACAGACAAAGTTACAGCTGGCGGCTGGAGGTTGTGCTGGTTTAAAATTTAAACAACATTGAATCGAAGAAGGGGCTGAGCGGAGGCAACCTTGCACTTCTGCTCCATGACCCGGTCCGTAGCTGTGTGTGTGTGTGTGTGTGTGTGTGTGTGTGTGTGTGTCAGCAGGGTGTGACTGGGTCAGAGAATGAGACACAGAAAGGAGGGGAATCACTTTTTGCAGAGCATGGTCTGCATGCGCTGACTGAGCTTAAAAGCAAAAAAAGGGAGGACAAACGCTGACATTGGTCCACATTTTATGCCGGCTCTAAAATAGCCCTATACACTTTGTGTGCAGGCGCCGGTTCACATGAACCCGTTCTTGCTCTAAATATTATGGAAAACTTTTATGATAACCTAGAAATGATTTTATTTTTTGAGATTTGCATGAATCATGCATTCCATTACTGTGAATGTGTGCGCATGTGGCTGGAGTTTGTTACCACAACGCGAGCGTGCCCTCATGTTTTATGCATCCTCCGGCTTGGCAGACCATGAATGTAGATATGTGGTAATGCTTTCTCACTCATGCCAGTCATGCCAGAGGAGGTGACCTTGTGTGCAGACAACACACACACACACACACACACACACACACACACACATAACTATTGTGTATCTATTAGGAATCACAGGTGCAGATGCTTCACACGCATTAAAAAATCCAAACACACATGTACGATAAGACTTGTGAGGACCAAATAACAGACAGCCAACAGCTGGGCCCTTGTAAGTTGAAAAGTGTATAATCTGGCCCATCTGCGTCCCGTTCTCACCTGTCTGCTGGCGCCTGCTGCTGGCTCTGCAGCACGGGCGCGGGCCTGTGCTTGTTAACTTTGGCGTAGAGCCCGTCAAAGTCCTCGGAGGACGGCTGACTCAGGTGAGGCCCGCCCGGCTGAGGCCCGCCCGGGTGGACGACCGGGGAGGGCGTGCGGCTGACGAAGGACTGCGGCGAGGGCGGCTGACGGAAGTTGTTGATGCGGGCGTAGTTGGGGTCGCTGTCGTCGTCCTCCACGTCGGGCAGGGAGGCCCGGTCGGGGGTGGCGTGGCCGGAGCAGGGCCCGGCGTAACGCGACTCGTTGCTGTCAGAAAAGCAGAGGAGGGGGCACTCACACACCAACAGTTGCTCTGAACGTTCAAGTGAGGAGTTTGTTTCGGGAAAACCAGGTGGGTGCCTGTAGCTGCATCCAATGATTCACAGCCTGTCAGGTAAGCTGTCAGTCAGAGCGCTTTGCTGCTGCCAAATGTTTCCTACCATTCGGAGAATTTTCTGCCACACAGCTGAAAAAACTCTTCTGACACTTTAAACTGTGAAAAACTAACAAAGAGACTCTCTTACCCATCTGTGTTGTCAGGGATCCGGTCCAGCTCCTCCTCGCTCAGGGCCTCCAGCCTGCTTTTAGAGGACTTTGCTGCGTCTTTGCTCTTGTCCTCTTTCTTCTTACCAAACCTAGACGAGACACACAGCACAAAGAACAACATTAATTTTATATGACCTTAAATTATTCTTTGATGAGGGCGGTGACCACAAGGTGCAGAAGACCACAACAACCACACTATTTCAGAAAACAGCTCACAAATGCATGCGTCCCAGTGCGACTTCACGTTTGTCTTTATGATCTCAAAGCCTCAGGCAGTCAGCAACACAATCTGCTCTTTAAGGTCACGTCTATGTGCTTTAATGAAGATATCTTTAATGAAAATAACACTTGAGCTACAGAATTTGCATGATTTGATGAGAGGGTCTCCAACTGACAGCACGCAAACAACACACCATCTCCACCTTGCATCAGCTTTCCAAATATTGACACACACACACGCACCCACTGAGACACAAACTCCTTCTAAGTCTTGTGTGTTCATTAGAGGCTCTGCCTGGGAAAAGACTGCTTAATGATAGACACGGTTATAATGTCACAGCAGGCACTGACAGTCCGCGGTACGCATCTGTGTGTGTGTGTGTGTTTGTGTGTGGGCACACGGAAAAGGGAATACTTGTCTGGTAGCATATGGAGCATGAATATTTGAACATTTCATTCAGTGAAATAGCTGCTACACCACAGTGTGTTATGCTTTCCTGATCAATGTTGCCATTACGACCATCATCATCATTATCATTTGGAGTCGCTTATTCTCTCACTTTGCAGTCGGAATACACTCGTCACCTCTGTTCAAGTTATGATGAAACTCCGCTCCATGCTTTCAAGAAATTAAGTGAGACTGTGCGGCTGAATATTTCATGTTCTTCCATCCTTCCTTCACATTGTCTCCTCTGTCCTACCCTCCACCTCTCTTTCCGTCCCACTCTCTCCATTCCTCAGAGCTCCCGCTGAGCCAATCTAAAGTCTGTGTTTATCTCATTAGCAGCGAGGCACTTCACATTACTGCTACAGGCAGATACGTGGCTTGAATGGGGAACCCGCTGGCCTGGACAAGTGGGAACCTGGACAGGGATGCCACATTGGCCTGGCACCATCCTGCAAACCAATTAGTCCTGTTTTTTAACTCATCTACTTGCTCCACTTCTACCTATGCAGGCTGTTCTCGTAAACAACAGGTCAGATATGCACATTGCTTATGTTTTCCTTTGAGGATGCAAAGAGGGACAATCAAATTATCCTCTTTTGATTAAGCATTTGGGAGCCTCTCATGTTCCATGCAAACATTTCTCTCTATGGGATGTTGTTATCATCCTTCAGAGCACCACATTGTATGATATATTGCCTGTATTACATTCGCACAAAAATCTGTTTCCTACACCACTGGTGCAGAATCAGGATTTATCTCTGTCCTATTTTCCACCACATTCATAAATAATTCTTTCATTTAGCAGGAAAATTGCTGCTTTTGTCAACGTTAAACATCTTGGCTACCTCCTCCGTCTCACATGGACCTCCCATTATGTTACGAATAAATCCACCCTCGCTGAAGGAACCGGACATAATTCCAAGCTTAGTTTTGGCAACATGTTATGCTGGTTCGAAGGTTTAGTCCAATCAAACTTAGCAGTATTTTTGACTGTCACATGCTGACGATGCACTCCGCCTTCACAGACATGGATCATCTTTTGGTCCCATAAATGTTCCACTTAATGGAACTGTTGCAGGATAATGAAATGCATAAATATGCCAAAGCAACGCAGTCTGCAGTCAAAGCAATGGGAAAATCTGTCTCCAAAGTGTCCAAATACCAAGTGTTTGGACTAATCGGTCTCTGTTAAGGAATAACAAATTCCTTTTTTCATTTTTGATATTTATAATGTGACTCCTGGGAGTCTGGACTCACGGATCAGCCAGAAAAAGATCATGTAGTGTAGGCAGAAGGTGTGGCGCTCCTAAAACGTAAGCCCAGATCTCCATAGTTACATCACCAGTGGAGATCAGAAAATATAATGAAACAGCTTTCTGGCACAGAACCTTTAACCATGACTGGTAAGCTGAGCTTGCAAAGTAAAATCTTTGAAGTTCCCCCCCCTTTACATTTACACCTGGCTCTTTCATGTATTTTGGGAGGATTAAAACGGTAAAATCCATCTTATTTTTATCATTTCCACAGTAACATCACGGGTGCAAAGCCCTCGTCTCTTTAATGTTTTTTCACCTCACTTCCTTGAGATCTCTTGCCACAGAAACCGTGTGGGCGCTGCTGCAGCATCTTTTTTTTGCTGCAGATTTCCCCCCTTTCTTTTCTTAGAACTATTTTGATTTAAGCACTCCCACATTATGCCGTCGCCAAAAGCAGACTACCAATTACCCCGGTGAAATCCATATCCAAATCAGTGATGTCAGAAGAGATGTATCAGCATTATTCACCTCCTCCGCATCAATAGACACATAATTATAAGAGGTAAAAACGAGGGATATGATTGACCAGTATCTCCAGGTTTATCTGGTTGAGCTGCCTGGTAGATTTGCCCCTCCTCCACACACACTTTCACACACATATTGGGCCTTAATCAACATTCTGAGGGGGCAGAGGTCCACAGTTGGACCCATCATTATATCTGCATTAATTAGGAAAGGCTCTTTTTCTCACTGCATTGTCTAAGAAGAGATGGAAAGTAAAACAAAAAAAATGGGGGTGACAGAATATGGGTGGGACGCCCAATTAGAAACACGTACCTGCCATGAGAGGTTGTTATCCCCCACTCTCCCATTACCTTATCTCTTATTCATCACCACAGGCTCATATATTTTCTCACTGCTGTGAGCAGAGATGGTGAACATGTAGCTCTGCCTTTCTTCCCCCTTCTAGGTTAACTTTTATTACTTTCACACAATTCTTTGTTTGGATTATTAACTCGATCTCGTCTTTAGACCCATTTCACTGTCAGTCAGAAATCTGACAGTTAATTTCCTGTTGGGTGTGAGACTATGTGCGCCAGCACATAAAAGGATACAGAAAATAAAAACGACTCTATAAAACACAACTACAAACAGAAGAAAAACAGATTGCACATTAGCACAGGTAAACAGTTGCACACACTCTGGAAGAGAGTAATAATCTTAAACCTCTTCCACACACAGCATCTCTGTGGGGACCTGCAAACATGGGCATGGAATAGGACATCTCATTAACTAAGCATTATCTACCTGCACAGCCACTCCATCAAACTCATTAGAGGAAAGTAGGGGGGTCTGGGTGAGCCAGGCTGCTCTGGTGTCCCATTTAATACACTCCCCACTGTCAAAGGAGCTACTGGGAACCATTATTAGCATGTCCCTGTCATCATTAGCCTCCTGCTCCCACCGCCGCCCTGACGACGCCTCAGCAGGCCCAGAGGATGACGGCGCTGATCCCTCTACAAATATTAGCTATAGCCAACATTTTTTCAATCCAATCGGACATTTTCAAAGCTTGGATTTAGATTTTCTTTTCAATATTGACATAATCAGACGTTCTACCCACTATTTCAATTTACTTATTTTAGAATGGATGTTTTCATTTTCTTTGTGGAAAGCATTTTCCAGTTTATCTTCTCCTATGCATGTTCCTACATTTGCTGTGGAACTTCCGCCATCATAGATGGCTGCACTTCTCAAAGCCAACACTGGGATTTTGCACACAAGAAAACAGTTGCAGGAGAAACTCAGCGGAACGCCAGCTCCAGTGAGAGCAGATAACTACAGCTGCTGTCTTTCTCATTACTGCAGGAGTGAATGTTCACAGTTAACGGGGCTCTAATGAGGCTCCATGTGCAACCGAGATCACAGCAAGCCAAGTGCGGTGATGTCATCAACCTGACCTGTGCAATTAGTCCTCTGGGAAGGAGGAAAGGGGCCGGCGGGGGCAGAAGAGCTTAAACTATCAAACTAGACAAAATGTTAAATGTCATTTTCTTAACAACGGTGACAAACGGAGCTACAAACTGCATAAAACATCTATGGAGACAAACAAAAAGCACCACAACTATCTTGAAAATCTTCTCACTTCTGATCTCAACATTAGCGGTTCTTCGTTCACTGCAACAGCGACAACAACTCTGAAGGTGCGCAGTCCTAATCAGCGTTCCTATCTGGTGCACCAGAGTCAGTGGGTGGCTGGTTTCTGCCGGCATAACGAAGGATGTGAGAACTCCGTCTGCTGGAGCTGTGAGTGTGTGAATGTGTGCGTTTGTGTGTGTAAAGAGGTATTTTTCAGAGGGAGAACGAGGAATAAATTAAGTCATGTGTATGTATACAATATTTGTGTGAGCTCCCTCGCTTGAAGACTAGATGAAATTCTTGAACACCTCACCATGCCGTGACGGGGGAAAAGCACAAGCATATAGAGAAGGGAAGAAACCTGCGACATATGATGGCATCGTGAGGCAGATATACCGGCAAAATGGTTTCTCCTACAGTCTCCCACAAAATAAGCTGTTCATATGAGACAGAAAAGGAACAAAGAAAACAAAATCTGAAAATAAAGGATAAAGAAAATCTGCTTCTATCATGATAACGTCTTTTCATCAACCCAATTCTGCAAAATGATTGAAGTTATTATTGAAGTTCAGCATGAAATCAGAGAAATTTGGGATGAAAAATACAAAAAAAAAAGTAATTTACTTCAACTTGCATTTAACTGCGCCCACGATGAACCCAAGATATTTCACCTTTGTTTCATCATCTTAATAAAATTTTCTTAATAAAAAATGTACTTTGCTCAGGGCAATGAAACAATTCATCTCAGATGCCTCTGAGCCCAGAGAATGTTTTGGGATTATTTTCCGTGGCATCTCTCCTCCGTGTTTTGTATCAGCTGTTGATGAATGTCCTTTCCTGATGCAGGGATGTTTGCGGGGTCTTTGCTCTGTATGCACAAGAAATCCTCTGGATTCATCGAACCATAAATTGATCCTGCTTTTGTACATAATTGTGATTGAAATCCCCCGACTAAAAGAACATCAACTGAATTTGTATCTTAAGATTAATTCAGAACTGCTGCGGTCTTTCAGACCTGCATGCATAT